CAGGAGCATGGACCAGGCGAGGGCGATCACAAGAAGCTCCTCGCACTCCGCGTCCTCCTCTTTCTCGAGCCGTTCCATTCGGGGGTGGACAGAACCCCCACCCTGACACGTCGATTAGTGAATTGTCCGTTTTCGGTTCTCCAGAGGGCGCTGTAGCCGTCATTTTCCAGGCTTTCGCCCGCCAGATTTGGGCCCGAGGTCGTTTTCACTGAACCACGTTTTGCTAAAGGGCGTTCTGTCCATCCCCGATCCATGGCTTTCTTGGATTTGATTTTCCACTTTGGGCGAATGTCTTGCTGCCTTGGGGCGCCCTGCCTACGCGTGCAGGACAAGTGGCAGTCCTACCTGCAGGGGGAGGAGCGCCTGCCTTTGCTCGAGCTCCCCTCCTGTTTGTCCTCCTGCTCCGCCTCCTTCCCTTTTGATATTGCCTTGTAAGCGTGACATCTTAGGCCTGCGAGGATCGGAGAGTGACGGCGCATCGACATCGTGTCGGATCCGTGGTCGCAACCGCGGATGTGCGGTAGTTGTGTGCAATGGGGGGCGTCATCGTGGTTTTTTGGTTGTGATGATGTCCTTCATTATCCTAATTTTGCAGGGGGACAGGATAGCTCTGCAAGAACCCCAATCAAAGCTGTTCGTGGCATTTATCAGTATCCACCGCGCGACGCGTTTAGACCCGTGGTTCCAGTGGTGGATTTCAACCAGCGGTTCGACACGGGGGTTGGGTCGAGCCGGTGGTTCGTTCGAGCCTGTTGTTCGACTTAGCTGTATTGATTCTGTTCGAGTCGTTGGTTCGACCTTGTTTGGGCCCAGAACGTTTGTCTCGAAGTCATGGACGCGTCGTCCCCTCAACAGCAAGAGGTGTGAGGTTCTTTCTTGCCACCAGGAGGGGTCATATTTCCAGGTGGTGCTATTAGGCCCGTGGTCTGATGTGGTTGCTGTGTTGTGTTGTGCCGTATGCCCCGTGGTCGGATTTGGCTAAAGAGCCTCACTCCCGGCAGTCATGGGTCATGTGTACTGGAACCACCTGGGATGGGATCAGCCATCTTGGGGCATCTGGACGTCATCGTGGGCCTCAGTGTACCGCCCGTGAGGCATTCGGAAGCCTTCCTGGGCCATCTGGAGACCATGGAAAGGCGGGCTCATAGTGACTCCGCCGACTCGATTCGAATCGATTTCGACCGATTCTGATTCCGATTCGATTCGACTTCGGATTCCGCTCTGAATTTCGGTTTCTCAGTGGAGGCCTTACTCGCGTGCCAATCTCCACTGATTCGTCTTTTCCCCGCTTGGCTGCCGATTTCATTCGGATCGTTGATCCGACTTACCGATTCGATTCTTGGCTCTCCTGCCCTTCCCCCCTCCCTCAAACGCACAATTTTGGGTCTAGTGTGTGGGAGGGGATTTTTTTGGGGAATCTTTTACGCGCCTCGAGACCCCACGGAGTCGCTAGATTCTCGACCTGGTTCACCCCGATGTGGGAGGGATCGGTTTTTGAAAACCATACGAGTCCTAGCATGCAGCGAGCAGGTACTCTGACACGCGTCAACGTGCTGAAGGCACGGTGTCGCCTCGGCTTTGGGAGTCTGTAATCCAGGTGGCCAGGATCCAAGGCAATCCCATGCGCAGGGACATACAATGCTTTGAAAGAGCGTGTTCTACCGCTGCTGGCGGAAAACCGGGGGGGGTCACTACCGGTTCGAACCCCTCCCCCCCCCTCCGGAAAACCGGGGGGGGTCACTACCGGTTCGAACCCCCCCCCTTTCTCGAACTCGAAAACCGGGGGGGGGGGTCACTACCTGTTCGAACCCCCCCCCCCTCGAAAACCGAGGGGGGGTGCGGACAGTGGTGGGGACGGTGGTGGTGGGGACAGTGGTGGGGGGACAGCGGGACAGTGGTGGGGACAGTGGGACAGTGGGACAGTGGTGGGGACGGTAGTGGTGGGGACAATGGTGAGGACAATGGTCGGAACAGTGGGGACAGTGGGACAGTGGTGGGGACGGTGGTGGTGGGGACAGTGGTGTGGGGACAGTGGGAATGTGGTGGAAACAGTAGGACAGTGGAGGGTACAGTGGTGGTGGGGACAGTGGTGAAGGCGGTGGCGAGGACGGCGGTGGGACAATGGGACAGAGGTACAGTGGGGACAGTGGTGGGGACAGTGGGGACAGTGGTGGGAACAGTGGGACAGCTCAGTGGGACAGCGGAGGAGTCAGTGGGACAGTGGGGACAGTGGGGATAGTCGGGCAGTGGTTGGGGCCGTGGAGAAAGTTGGGAGAGCGGAACCGTGGTGGGAACAGTGGTGGGGACAGTGGGGACAGTGCGACAGTGGTGGTGGCCTTGGTGGGGACAATAGGGGCGGTGGTGGAGCCAGTGGGGGACAGAGGTGGTGAGGACAGTGGTGCTGGGAACAACAGTGGGGGATGTGGTGAGGACGGTAGTAGGGACCGGAAGTCGTTTGCTGGCGGTGAGAGGGGGGGGGGTGGGGAGGGGTTCGAACCGGTAGTGACCCCCCCTCCGGTTTTCGAGGGACTGGTAGTGACCCCCCCCCGGTTTTCGAGGGGGAGGGGGGGGGGGAGGGGTTAGGGGGGGGGGTGGGGCGGGGGAGGGGGGGGTCCAGCCGGGGGGGGATTTTCGGAGGGGAGGGGAGACCCCCGGGTTCCAGAGGAAAAGGGCGGCAATTTTCCACAGTAAAGCGGCGGTGGATCACGCTCTCTCAATGATTTCAAACACATCATACATAATCATACATGTCTATCGAGGACACCTGCGGCGAAGCAACAGTGCCCCTGCCTTGCGGAAGCGCCTGTGTAGCCAGCCGCTGGGCCAAAGTTTGGCCAAGCTATCGGGCAGTGTGTTCCCCCAGTCGGTGTGGAAACATTTGGGGGAGGAAGGGAGAGTAGGAGTTAAGCTCAGTGCACTCGCGCCTCATGCGACACCCTATCCCTCCCATCCCATCCCTTCCCACGGTGCTGATTTTCTTCATCCGCGGACGCGTGTCATAGCTGACCTGCGACTTCCACAGAGAGACCACTTCGTGCTATGCGCAGCCGGGAAAAGTGGGAGCTGCGTACACTGGGGAGGAAGAGAGAGAGCAGGAGTAGAGAGATGATCACGAGGACGAGGAGGAGATCTCTTGCGGGCCTCTTGCGGCTGTCTCGGGGCCTCCTGGAGGCCTCTTCGGGGGCCTCTCGGGGGCCCCTGGGGGCCTCTTGCGGGCGCCTTGGGCCATCCCAGAGCTCACTTGGCCCGTCTGACTCTTTCGTTGGCTGTCTGGGAGGTCTCTTTGGCCCTCTAGGAGCGCTTTCGGTCCGTCCTGGATGTCTCTTGGGCCCGTCGTGGGGCCGTCCTGGAGGCTTCTTGGGCCGTCTTGGAGCTACCTGGCCTGTTGGGCTGTCTTCGGCCGTCACAAGCCCGCACAGGTGAGAGCGCGAAAAATTGGGAATCAATAGTTCTGGCTTCTCTGGGCTCTCCTGCTGAGCTGAGCAGTGCTGTGACGAGGGGGGGAAGAGTGAAGTGTGTGTGTGTGTGTGTGTGTGTGAGTGAGGGGAGGAAGAAAGAGAGAGGAGGGGAGGTGAGAGGAAGAAAACCAGAACCCCACGAAACATGTGGGGAAAAACTGGCAACAACCAGTTGGGAATCAGTAGCTCTGGCTTCTCCGGGCGCTCCTGCAGGGCCTCCTGGAGCCCTCTTGGGGCGTCTTAGGGGGACTGTTGGCCCGCCCGGAGGCCATCTCGGACCGCCTTAAGTCAGGAGGGGAAAAAACACACAGACACAATTAATCGGCGATTCCCAGAAAATATGGGAAAATATGGGAAGTGGGGGGGAAGACAAGAACCCAGAAAATATGGGAAAATATGGGGGATATTTTTATTTGTGTGTATTTATTTGTGTGTCCCAGTTCCCCTTCATTAAGAGCAACCTTGGTCCGTCTGGGGTCATGCTGGAATCATCTTGACCTCCTTAGAAGATCTTCTCGGAGGCCGTCTTTTCCCTCTCGGAGCTCTTTGGGGACCATCGTGTGGGCGGTGCAGCCGCCGCATTACTCATTGCTTGGTGGGCAGACTTGTTGGGCCCGAGGCCACTGGGAGCCTTCTGCCGTGGGAACACAGACCCGGGGCTGTGGCAGACCCAGGGTGAAATTTCTTCTATTTGCCCTTTAGTAAGGCCTCCGGAACGGAGCCGGCCTGCCACGGCAGCTTTTTCGGTTGCGTTACGAAGCAAGCGAGCTTCTCGCAAGCCGCGTGCAGCGAGCCACGCCAGGGCCAGGCAAGCCGCGCTGCCGCCGCAGGACCTTTCCGATGCAGAATCTGAAAGGGTTTAAAGGGTTGTCGTCCATCACGCACGCAAGCAATCCCTCCCTCTTGCAAGCAGCAGGGGGCGGCGGATCGAAGACGTCAACGGCGAGCCTCCGCCGCCCCCTGCCTGTTGGAAACGCCTAGGAGGAGAAAGGAGGATGGGAAGTAGGATAAGGAGGAGGAGGAGGAGGAGGAGGAGGAGGAGGAGGAGAAGGAGGAGAACGAACGAACGAACGACTCTGCAGAGGCGTGCCAGCTGATCCTGCGTCCTCGCGGGGCAATTGAAATCAACACCAGAAGATTTCCAGGGCTGGCTCGCTTCTAGAGGCGCTGTGATGAGACTATACTCATCACGCGTGGCACTCGGAGCACTTGTGCTCCCGCCCACCCCCTACCTCGGCTGAAAGCCCGTGCTTTAAAGGCTGGGCATGGCCGTAGGGTCAGGGGCAGAGAGGGGGGAAACAAACGGCGACAGGGACCGCCCTAAACGAGTGGAAGTCCCCCGACGCCCGACAAACAACAGTTTTAAAGCCAACGAAACTCGGGCAGCCTACGGCCCGCGGGCCAACACAAAAAGTTCAATCCGAGAATCATCTGAGCGGTTTCTGAAGCCCCAGGAGGCTCATAATATTATCAAAGGGGAGAGGAGGTGCCGATGAGGAAGCGGAGGAACTCGGCTCAGCAGCGGCGGCGGCATCTCTAGGCCTAGACGAACTCGCGGAGGTAGGAGTTGCCTCGCAGGGTCCGCTGGAGGCCGAAGGAACGGAGCGCGATTGCCTTTGGGTTTTCGTGGAGCTCATCCCCGCTGCCGTAGGGAGTGCCGTCAGTGATCCAGTCGTGTCCGTAATAGTCGGGGACGGTGCACTCTGTGTCTGTCGGGCAGTAATTGTAGTAGAAGGTGCCGTCGCCTTCGGGGAAGGCGTAGTAGACTGATACTCAAAAACAACAACATGCGACCTGATTCTTGCTTGTCTCGAGGCGGTACGCCCAGAGGGGGTCGGCTCAGAGAATTCTAAGGTCCCCGCACCACTGAAACAAGCGTGGGCACCGTCAGTGACGGGATTGGGGACCATCTCATCATAGCCTACCCTCGAGACAAGCGAGCAATTTTTCTCAACCCGTGACGAGTCCTGATGTGAGTCACTCCGCGTCTCCTTGCCGCCTCTAAAAGCCTTGCTACTGATTCGCGTCGAGATGCAACTGCAATATCCTTGAGTTGTGACTGCGAGGCGGGGTCTCATGCTTGTGTACTCCACCGATCTGCACCAAAGCCTGCACCACAATATCCTCCATCCCCGTCGCTTTGGCCTCGATCCAAATCTTGACTTTGTCTTGTGCGTGCGTCGTCTGGAGTCTGCAGTGCCAAACTAAGTCTGCCAAGTCTCCGTTGGTCAGCTTCTCGTGCTTGAGCTTCTCTTGGTATTCCTTGAGCTTGGTTGCGTTCGTCTGTCCTACTTTCTCTCCCTGTGCCACGAGCGCGCCTATGAGTGATGCCCACACGTGTGGATATGGGACCCCGAGCCCTTCCAACTCGGGAACGAGTTCGCCATTCTTGATTGCCTCCTGGTGGTGATCGCGTAGCCTCTTGGCCTGCCCGTAGTAGCGCGCCGTGAGCATCATCGACTGCGGCACGTCGTGGTTGGTCGGAAGCCGGACGTGACGAAAGGACGCCGACTCTATACTGGTCCGAGTCGATGTTCATGCCCAAGCGCCATCCTCGTCAAGATGGGCGTCGTCGCTTGCGCCCACTGGATCGGCATCGACTGCATGTCGGTGGGGTCTCCCTCGCGCAGTCCGTAGCGGTTGTCGGTGGCGGCCCGTGCGTCGTTGGAGCGCCCGGACCCCTTATACCCAACCCTCAGAGCCAATCCTTTTCCCGAGGTTACGGATCTATTTTGCCGACTTCCCTTACCTATTTTCTTCTATCGACCAGAGGCTGCTAACCTTGGAGACCTGATGCGGTTATGGGTACGACCAGGGGTGAGAATAAGCCTTTCCTTCGGTTTTTCAAGGACAGTTGAGAGCGTGCTGGGGCATCGCTGCCTGGGGTCCCCCAGGAGGGGGCGGCAGTGGCTGGGCCCGCATCCCCGCGCCACCTTCGGCGACCTCGGTCTCCGCTGCGAGTCCGATCTCCGCGCCCCGCGGCGAGCTCTCCTCGCCTCTGCTCCGTCCCCGTCGCGAGTGCCTTTCGGAGGGCACCAGCTAGACACCAGCACCGATCTTGGCCCAGGGTCACCCTGGGCCCAGGATCGGTGTACATGCCTTCTTGCGCAGGGCAGGAGGGCGTATACACCGATCCTGGGCCCAGGGCGATCCTGGCCAGGATCGGTGCTGGTGTATAGTTGGTGCCCTCCTAGCCTTGTCCGCCAGGTTCGACATCTATCGCAAGATCGGGTGGCGGGTGGGCGTGAACTTCTCGGATGTGTGCCTGCAGTGCTTGTAGCCTGGGAAACTCGCCTTGAGCCAGTACGGCTCCAGACACGGATTCACGAAAGGCCTCGTGCGCACTCTCTGGGTCCACGCAGATGGGGCAGCGTAAATCGTCGGGCATTCTCAGCGGGGGCGAGTGCGCACTGTAATCTGTCAGGCACCTGCGACGCTTCACCGATTGCACCACATGTCTCTTGGCCAGCACCACCGACGAGAAGGTGGACGAGCAACAGCAGCTTGGTTGGTAACCACGAGCTGATGCATAGGTACCCTGATCTCGTGCGCAGGGTGGTGGCACTGGTGAGCACGCAAGGCCGCCCTGGAGTAGAAGTAGAAGCCCTGGCCACAAGGGTCCCCACCGTCGCCTGGAAGCTCGCAGTAGAACTCTTGAGGGGGGCCTTCAGGGACTGGAGGAACTTCAGGGGCACCTGAAGCATGGAGTTCCGAGGGTAGCTGAAGGGGTCCACTACGAGCCTGTTCCCAGTAGGCCTTGCGGAAGTCCTTGGCGTTTCTGCTCCTACAGTGTGCAGCGATCCTAAGGTTGGTAAATATGTCTTTGATGCTGTGGCCCTGGTCTGAGAAGTATTTCCCGAGCGGGGTGGCCTCAAGGGGCTTCCTCTTTTTGCAACTGCAGGGCCCACGGATTGGCACCGGGTCGGATCCAGCCAGAGGGGGTGAACGTCGGGGATTCGCCAAGCGCCTTGAACTGCCCAAAGAGAGCCGCAACAGCCTGCACAGAATCGTCTGGATGAAAGGCCAGACGCTGCCAGTAACTGAGACGACGCATCAACGGCTCGGTCCTAGCGTCTGCGATCTTCAACTTTTTACGCAGCAGCCACGCCGGCGGGGTCCGAATGCGACCCCCGCCAGGACCAGCATGGCGAGCGACCCCTCGAAGAGCGGATTTTGCAAGCCCAAGGTGACCGAGTCCAGCTTCGCATAGTCCCTTTTCCCCAAAATGTAGACCTCCAGGCCCGAGAAGGCCGTGCTGTGGATTACTCCCGAGAACGCCATTCGCTTGAGTTTCAGGGACGTGTGCTGGTTCCGAAATCGTTCTAGGTTCGACCGAGCTGCTCTCGTGGCGTCAACCCGAAGTCGAACCTCGGCTCCAGCTCCTCCCGTTAGATGTTCCAGTTCTCCTAAGTAGATCGTCTCAGCTTTTACTTGTCCAGGAAACTGCACCAGTCCAGAGAGGGCGGCTCGAGTGGCCGTATATCCCCCAGGGCCAGCAAAAGCAGGGAGGATGATCTCCTTATCGACGTTCTGGCAAACACCTCCTAACTCCTCCAACTGATCAGACAAGATGCGAGACGACAGTTTTGCCCTCTGAGCTGCTCGAAGTGGGTTGCCATCAGGGAGGGGCAGCGTCTGCGAGACGTCGTCTGCGTAGTCCCGCATTGATATATCAATCTGTTCCAGATGAATGGGCGAGTAAATCAGCGTCGCCGCTTCCATCATCGGAACGGAGCCACCTCCTCCTGTGTCCAAGACGGCCTGAGTCTCCGTCCTCAATATGTGATTCCATGTCTCCAGCGGCTTCACAAAATAATGTACGACCATCTCGCAAGCGTTACCGTCGCCCATGCCAGCTCCATGGGAAGGTGCGAAGTATCCTTTTTCCCTCGCCCGCCTGAGTTTCCATCACTGCCTCGCGATGACGCTGCTGCGGGAGGACCTGGTCCTGCATATCTGGAATAACCTCCCCGATCACCTGCTCCAGCATCTTGTGATCAGTGGAAGGGAAGGCGTTGCTCATGTCTTTTTTTCCACGTGCAGGTGCGACACGAGCTTCTTGCGCAGTCTCCAGGAGTGCAGTTTGGCGGCGAGCTGTGCGTTCTGCCTCGATCGATGTGCCGCATATCCGTGAGCATGAACAGGGGGCCTCGGTCTTTTGTGCGGAACAAATGTACCTCCATACCAAGCTTTGCCAAAAGGGCAGTAACCATGAATCAATCTCATGGCTTTCGTTCCTCGCTTGTCGCTTCCTTTGCTGAGCTGAAGCGTTCGTGGCCAGTGCCACTGGCATGGCGTGCGACGGGATCGCCTGATCTGCCGCATGATTCCGAAGAGGCGTTCCACGATCCTCGGACAGGGGACGTGCGCTCGTCCTCCTGCTTCGCCGTCGTCCTCAGGAGGGTCTCCTCGAGCCTCGCGCGTGGCCGCCCTGAGGGCCGACAGCCATGCCTCACCAGGGGCGGAATGTGGTGGTGCGTGCCGTCTCCTCGCAGCTTTTTCCAGACACCCCAGGGCATTCGTCCAATCAGCCTAAGCCGCCGTGCCAGGCCGTCCACGCATGTCCTTTCACTCCCCATCAGGATCGCCCAGGTCACGCTGTCCCCGAGCTGCAGCACCAGGAGAACCAGGACCCAACACTCTTGTTGCAGAGAAGCCGTCCTCAGCGGCGCTGGGCTCCATTGTCTCCTGCCACTCCTCCAGGGCGGGGGCGTAGGTCGGGATCGGGTTGAAGCGTCGGCGCCGTGTTTCATGATAGCGGGCGCCTGTCTGGAATCCAACCTTCCATGCAGCACTAGCATGTCCTTGATCAGCCGCTTGTTGTGCTTCGCATAGCAGCTCGTCGACCCGTTCTCTGTCCAAACGTACTCTAGCCCGCTGGATCTCCCTGCCGCGTGCTCGTAATCGTAGTCTATCCGCTTCAGTGCAATTGACGCTCATTTGTCTCCGCTCTTCCAATAATCTCGCGCTCTGCTCGGTAGTCATCCGTGGGGCCAGGCTTGCGCTGGTTCGCAGGCTCCGTCTCTGCTGCTTCGCGAATGGCCGTGGCAAGCTGAGCCCAGGCCATGGGCGGATCCCCTGTCAGTATCGCCCGTCTCCGCAGCGGAGCGCCGCTCTCCGTGCGTCTTCCCGGCTCAGCAGCAAGCTCTGGGGCGCCACTCAGCTTCCGCCCCTTGCCCAAGAGGTCGCGACCCCACGTTGATGCGCTCTGCTCGGGCGGAGGGGCTGTCTGTAATCGGTACCGCAGCTTCCACAGCGCTAGGCAGTGAGCACGAGGGTGCGGGGGCGGAATGCGCTGCAGGTCTCTCATAGCTCGTCTCAGGCATGCGCAAGCTTGCGTGGCCTTCACTGCATCGCGCGGTCCCCTCGGGCGGTCGGGATGTGAGGGTATGTGCGGCAATGCTCCAAAATGCGTCGGTCCAGTGTCAAAGAAAGTATCTATGACCGCCATCCCCTCCATGCTCACCATTCTCCACAATGCAGCGCCCACGCCATTCTCGAAGCTGTTCGCGTACTGCCCCGCGTGCATGTCGTCTCTCGTCGCCGTGGGGGTACCGCTCGCTCCAGCTCTCTTACCAAACTCCGAGTTGGTGTCGGCTCCCACTATTACCGTGCTGCGGGCCTTGGCCCTTTGTATCGTCCGACGAAGCCAGGTCGTGAGTTTTGCGCGCGCGCGTTCGTCCAGTGGCCGACCTGATGCTTCTGCGGGGGAGGGTAGTAGGCCACAATCGCCAGAATGTCAAACGTCGGACTCTTCAGTCTCACTGCCCCCCCGCCCCGCGAGATCCTTGGGGGGCTCTATGATCTCCTGAATGTGACTCTGCCTGAACGCACGTCGGCGCAGCATGATCGAACAGCCCTCGCTTTTGTTCGTATATCGACCCTTCTGCCAGCCGAAATTAATCATCATGTGGCGCTCCAGCTTCTGGAAGGTCGCTGTGCCCCCTGCTCTGCGGCGCTGCTGTGTGCAAGGCAATATAACCTCATCTGCAACTCGCAACCGAGAAGAAATCCCATGTGCTCTCCATTCATCTGAAATCGAGAGTGGATGGTACAATATCGTCTGAAGGAGAGACGCCCACGTGGCGGGCGGGGGCGGGGGGCAGCAGGCGAAAGGGCCCTAGCCTGCGGAACTTGCTTCCAGGGGGCCCCGCGAGGACCCGAGCCTGAGCAGGAAGGGGCTTGGAGGAGGAGGGGGGGGGGGGAGGAGGAGAGGACAAGAAGGACAAAGAGTCCCCTGAGGCCCGTCATGTGGCTTCTTGGGGGCTTCCTGGGAGGAGCTTGGGGGTCCTCTTCGGTGCATTTTGGGGCCTTTTTG